ATTCTTCACAATATATAGTCGGGTTTCAGGAGGCGTATCAGTCAGCATTAATTAAATTTAAAAAACACATCAATCAATATCCTTCTTTACCTTTATTTAAGGCAATTCAATGTTTTGATCCCCGCTATCGTATGAATAAAACCTTGAAAAATGAAATAATAGAGACACTTGATGATATGGCCGTAGAATTACTTGAGGAATTCAAAAAAAGAAATGGTGGTGGCCTTCCTGATCAAATTGTATTCTATCGTGATGGTGTTGCAGAAGGCCAGTTCGAAAAGGTCATGAATGAAGAGGTTGAATTGTTAAAACGCGCACTCCGAAAGTTTTATTCACCAAGTCCATCTCCAAAGCTCACGTTCATTATCGTGCAAAAACGTCATCATGCTCGGTAATATATCTTTATATTAATTATTTGTGTCAGAATTTATCTTATCGTTGCTCATGATATTTGATTTTTATTATAGGTTTATGCCCGTAGATTCTAAGGATGCTGACCCTAATGGAAATGGAAATTGTCTCCCAGGAACTGTAGTTGATTCCGGCATTGTGGTGCCTCAATACTTTAGCTTTTGTAAGCATTATTTACATTAAGATTCTACTAGAACCAAAATTTAGTAACTCTTAAATTCAAAATTTCATAGATTTACAATCTCACGCTAGCCCGCGTGGAACTGCTAGGTCAACATATTATCATGTGATACTGAACGAAGGAAATTTCTCTTCTGATGAGATGTACGAATTAACTTATAAACTATGCTTTTTATCCGTTAGGTAATTTCATGTTCATATTTTCATGTTACATTTCCAATATTTTGGATATAAATTAACTAATTTATTTTACAAATTTACATTTTTTTTTTTTCACACACACACATATATAAGATGCAACCTATCTATTTCTCACGTTACCCCGGTGCATTATGCCCACCATATTGCAAATCAAGCCAAACACTTTGTCACATTTGATGAAATTGAAGATACATTTGCTGGTCGTGGTGGTAGAGGTGGCAGAGGTGGTAGGGGTAGAGGCCGTGGTGGCCGTGGTGGTCGTGGTGGTCGTGGTGGTCGTGGAGGCCGTGGTGGCGGGGTAGTTAGCCTCGAACCCGGTGAACGTCCAAAAGTTATAAACGGAGAGTGGCAACGCGTAAAATCTTGTATCGAAAATACAATGTTTTTTGTATAACGGACTTTTAAATTTTGCACATTTACTCACGAACTTTACCACATAATGATAGAAACTGACATTTTGCAGATTTAAACAGATAACAGATAATGCAGATGATTTACACGTAAGGTGTGGTTGTTTTTTGTTTTAGGTTTTGTTGAAGAATGGGTGACTTATTATGCATTTAGTTTTATCTTATATAAGTGATCCTTTTTTTTTTATCCTATAATTCAGACTTATTATGATATATGATTTAATTAATGAACTTATTTGTCTACGTAAAATTCATAATCTTATAGTTAAGGCTTTTTAGAAATAAATTGCCTAAATTGTATTTCATATTGTTCATTTTCAATAATTTTCAATATCAATATTACTTGGTGTTAATATTTATTCAGTCAAGAAGTGTCGTACATTCCAGAAATTTTACATTGATTCTTTGGATATTACTGCAAGTTTTAGAGGAATAAACTTGTTCGGAGCAATAACAAAAGTTTTTTCTTAACGATTAGATGATTAGAAGTCGGATCCATGAATTTTCACAAAATTCACGGATCTTTTGAGATTTTAGGTATCTGTGCCACAAAATTTTTTCCACCCCCTGTAAGATCAGGTGTAACGTGATAGTCAAAACAAATTTGTTTGCGCGTAAAATTAAATCTACGTTATATTTAGGGTTATGGTTAGGAAAATATAACGGCTATTAGTAGAATTTCACGAACATTTTTAATTAGGCCGCAGAAGATAGTTTGCCAGCGAGGCCGTTGTCAATACTAAAAAATTATAATGCTGCTTTTCATGCTAGAAACCCTTACAGCAAATAAACAACAAAATTAGTGCGCAAAGAGCAAAAACACTTTCTACCTTCTAGTTATTTAATTGTTATTTTTTTCTTTTAATTTGAACAGGAAGAGTGGGTTTGTGTATAACAGAGCGAATGTCGCATCCGCAGAAAGGGCAAAATTATATGTTGTTTTCCCTGATTTACTCCTAAACTCTTATATTGTATACTTTCACTTAATTTCAATTCGATTATTTTGAGTGGGCACGTAACTGTAATCGATTCGAGACAAACCGATTTTGAACGTAAGTTATTGATTAAGCTAGATTAGTAAATTATATAGGCTAATAATTGTTAAAAGTTAAGTAAAATTTGTAATATTACAAATAATAAAAAATTTATGCTATATATATATAATATATATATTGTAGTTTATAGACAAAATATAGCGAACAATCCAATGTAATAATTTGGTGTTATAATAACGATACGATAACAAAGAATGCAGAAAAATTCGTTTGCTATACTTAGATCTTTACTAATCAATATAATCTATATATGTCAAAATAGTAAGAACCTATTAAAAACTGCTTATCAAAATATAATACAATATATATATAAGAATTTATATCGATATAAATGAAGAAATTCAAACATCTACCTATCAGATGAGAATGTTAAATAAATAAATAGAATGTACGATTCTTTTATAACATTTTATTCTGTTCCAAAATTAGGCGGGTTGCTTTTATTCATCAATAATATCTGGTAATTCCAATTCATGCAATTAGTATCTATAAAAAGAATTATTAAATAATGCTATTATAGTATAGAATCATATAAAAAACCAATTTATATATTACCTTTATAATCAATATTAGATGGAATAAAACTACTTTTATAATGTGAATAATTATATGGATCATTATATAATTGCATAATTTCGTTTTTTATATTTTGTAATTTTTTATCAGATTCATTTAATTCTGATAAAATATTTTCATTATTCTGCCATTCAGCAAAAATATCGCAAATTTCTTTTGCTGTTGGTCGTTCTTTTGGTTCAATATTCCAACATTTCTTAATTAAATCTGCATAGCATTTTGCCGTATTTTCGTAAATATTTGGTCGTAAACCATTACAAATTTGTATTAGAAATTGTAATTCTTGTAATTTTGATTTTTGCTCAAAAGGTACGGGTTTGCCGTTTAAAATCTCCCACATGATTATACCAAATGAGTAAATATCAGATGATTTAGTATATTGTTGATTCTTCAAAACTTCAGGAGCAATATATGGCAAAATTCCACAGATTTTATCAGATTTTGATTTTAAAGCAATATTAGCTGTTATTGAAAGCCCTAAATCTGCAATGTATGCACTCTTAAAACTATCAAGTAGTATATTTCCACTATGTAAATCATTATGAATAAGGTCATGAGAATGAATTGTTTGAAGATCGTATGCAATACATTGTAGCAAATTTAATTTATCTTTCCAATCCATTTGCGCTATAGTATGCAGATTTTGGCGTAAACAACCTTTTGAAGCAAATTTCATTACAAGAATATAATCTTCAGAAGTTTTATCTCTTGATTAGAGTGGACGGGGAAATGTGATGTGCATATATGTGCATATGTGACATGTTTTTCGTGAATCATATGTGAACATATGTGCACATATGTATATTAAATTTACAGTTAATTCTGTAGAACGAATGTCTTTACAAGCCATAAATTTTTAAATTTTATATGTTTTATGTGGTGTAGACTCTTGGAAACCCAAAATATCCAATGCGTTATAGAGAAAGTTAGCCATATTTGGAAGAAATTACAAATTCGAATGTAATTAATTTATTTGGTTTCAACGAGTATGTCACGTCAGAGTTACTGACGTCAAAATTATGTCAAGATTACATATTAATGTAATCATCAATATTTTTATTTCCTCTTGTCCATATAGAAGAAAAGAGTTTGATAACATTTGCTTGTATTTATTTTTAATCTAAAAATTATTCGATTTTATTAAAATACATAAAATTCAAAATACCAATTGAATTTTCTGAAAGAGCTTGTCTTCTATCTGTAAGAATATTTTTATATAAAGAGAAGCTTCGCTCAACATCAACTCCTGAAACGGGAAGCCAAATATAAACTAAAGCTATTTGTGACAAATTAGGAAGGTCTGTAGCTTTTTCTTTCCAATAAGCATCTAAATCAAAATCATTATCATAGGGAAGATCTTCATCTATCTTACAATAAATACCCCACTCACGTATAATAACATTATTTGGATTTTCAAGCTCAGGAATACATTTGTACAAGTTAATATCCTGACGACTTTGTTGTAAATGAAAATACCGGGGATCAAAACATTGAATTGCCTTAAATAAAGGTAAAGAAGGATGTTGATTGATGTGTTTTTTAAATTTAATTAATGCTGACTGATACGCCTCCTGAAACCCGACTATATATTGTGAAGAAT